ATAATAAAAAAAATTATAAATTAAAAACTATATAATTTAAATATTTTTTATAAATTTGTAAATTGATAAAAAAAAATATTTAACATGAAACCCTGTGATCAAGTCCAAGTACAGTATATAACAGAAAAAGGAATTTTTTAAAAAAAACTGACTTTGCAAATGTGAGCACTATGTATAACAGTGATATCACAGAAAATTTTATTACATAAAAGATTATACATATAAGTCCTCTGGAGATGAGACAGTACTAATATCTTTATATTCAACTTGTGAAATACTTGATTGGGAGAGTGATACCAAAGTAACATAAACTGAAGTGGTAAGAGAAGCAGTGTATGCATAGAAGATTTGTGATAAAGGATTAGGTGTATCAAGATTAGAAACATTTCTAATATTATGAAATGACTAAGAATAGAAGATAACTATCTGTATAGAGAAATTGTAATCTGTTTTGTATATTTAAAGATTTCAAATTAGAGTTCTGATCACACCTATATGAAAGCCTATAGTGAAATAAGTGAAACATACCAATATTAATGCTGTATCAATCATGATTAAGATATCTAAATTGGAAATAGAAATTTACTTGAACATAATATGAACACCTTAGTCTAAATATAGATTCAGACTAAAATGTTCTTAAAAAGATAAGAAGATTGTCTACAGTTGGAAACAAAATAAAGAAAGATCTACAACACAATGTAACAGTAATAAAAATGTCAATTAATGATTGAAAGAAGATATGTATTCATTTCTAAAATAGAATTTTATTTATATTATAAAAGGGAGTACTTAAGGAGCAATCCATTAGAAATAATGCTAAGACCAAAAAAGGTTACAAATCAGCAGCAATAGCAGAAATCTGACTTGAGATACATATTACCAGTACCTGAATTGAAAAGTTAATAGTGACAATAAGAACCTGATTTGAGATATGTGCTAGAGAGACACCCTTTGAACAAACTAAAGATAGTAACTCAAAAGGAGCAAACAACCTAATGGACCAATTTAGAAGTTATTAAAAATAGGTTGTGAGACATGAAAGGAATATATAGGTTATCTAATATAATTAATAGTAAAACAAAAATCCAGATTAGGTGTAAGTGGAACATAATACAAAACTCTAGTAGGTTTAAATCACAGATAAATATATTTGAGTTCTATATCTGAATAGATATATAATGATAGATGATGTATAATAGATTTGTACTAACTATAACAAATATACTAATAAAAACTAGAGGGCATGACCTCACCTTAATACCAAAAAAAAAGAAAAAATATTTAATTAAAATATAATAAATTTATTTTTAAACCTTAATATTATAGTATATATAATTCTAAAAGTATAGTTTAAAATAACAATTATTAGATTTAATATTATTATTAAGTTTTTTAATTTATTTTATAAAATATAAAATATCATAAGTAATGATACGACCTATATTTTATTTAATTACAAGTTAATTACATTTTAATTTAAATGCATCAAGTTGGTGTATCATGCTTAATAAGACGGCCAATACTTTAATACCTTTTGACTGTTTTATTAATCAACTTCGTGAAGAACGCGTAAATCATAACACGTAAATAGGTTTTGCCGATTAATTTGTTATTTAGTATAGTTCGGATTTATAGGATTGAATCTTTAAGAATTACGGAATATTTGTGACTTTCAGATCGACATCAAAAATTCCTCAAATATGTACAATGACACAACGACTTCAGCGTCACACTTTAATTCCAGAGTCCATAACATGACAGATTATAGCATATTTATTTTTATGAAAACAATACAATATAAATAGATTCACTGTTTTATTATATTGGAAATTTTACAAAAGGGTTTGGTGGTGGTGGCGCAGTATAAATATAACATTGATATAGTTAGCTATTCCTAATACGATCTATATGTACATACATCAATCATTAAAAGTTTACTCATGTGAGAAATTTCCAAAAACGGTAATAAAACTATTCACGCAGCAGATACGCAAAAAAAAAAAACAATATAAATGCGATCAATTTCTGTTAAAAATTTTTCGGTCCTTTAAAACAATCTTTTTTGTTTCAAGAACTCGGAAAATTTTATCACGACCGCGTCCTGTCATGACTTCTTACGGTGCTGCGACTTGTATTAATGAAGTTTCTTTACAGCCTTTAGATAATCTGTCAGTGGTTGCTTTACCTGACCCTAATTTATTCTTTGCTCTATTTTTACCCAACTATGGTCTTCCATGTGCTGATTTACTCTCAACTCAAAGTCATGATCTAATACTACAATTCGAAACGTCTAAAAATTCACCAACTTGGTTATCGGAACCTTTTCTTCTCGTAGATTCTCATCAAGTTTGTTTTTCTGAAAAAGATCATATCTGTGACATGATTTGGGTAGGAACAATCCCGTTATCCTTGATGAAAAATAACTGGTCATTACCGGTTCCTCCTTTCGAATATCCACCATGTAACGGGCACTCTTCTGTCTTTGTGGAATTCATCGACCTTCTTTGTCTTGAGAATGTTCATAGTTATATCGCTATGCACAGAACCGTTCCTTTTTTGGGTGCGACTCCTGAAGAATTACGTGTAGCCATCATTTTCTATTTAACGGCTTTGCTTCCTCAGGAGGTTTTTCAATTTTATAAATGGCCTGCTCATGGATTTGAACATCTGACGAAGATTTATGCTGAATTGCCATTTGAGTTTTTGAAACTTGCATTAGAAGCTCAAACTTTTCCATTTGCTGCTCCAAGTGATCGTTTTCAATTTGCCAAGAAAGTAATAGCACTTAGGAAAGCAAATGCTAAGCTATACGGTTGTGGAAATATGAACACTTCAGTTCGTGATGTTTTATGTGAAACTGTCTACTTAGCATTTGGTGATGATTTAAGTGGGTCAGGAATCGTAGTCGCAACTAGCTCTCCGTTAAAGAAAGCCTCCGATGATCCTTCATCAAAAAAGATGGTTTAAAGGGTATTTATTATTTTTTTTTATTTTTTCATCTGCATGAATTGTTTGAGATATATAAATTATTATGAATATAATTCTCAAAAATAAAGAAATTAAGCCTTAATTTATCTAATAGAATTGTCTAATTTTTTCAACTAGTCACGTATATTTTATCTGGTTTAGACTCGTATGACCGATAGTGGGATCTTTCGGATTTTGTTACTTTTGTTTTAAGCACTATCGTTGATGAATTTCTTATAGTTTTATGTTTTCTCTAATGTTTTTTTTTTTTTTCATTCATTCCTTTCTAATATAATTTAGTATTAATATTAGTCAAAAAAAAAAAAAAAAAAGATTACTTTTTTTTTTCCTTGTAAATAAGAATATAACAATAATCGGTTGTATATATATAGAAGTATATAGATGAAACTTTGACAAAATTGTCAATCTCATTGAACTTTTATAATACAAAAAAAAAAAAAAAAAAAAAAAAAAGATTAAAAAGATTAAAAAGATTAAAAAGATTGATAGATCAATATATATAATAATTTCAATGTTCTTCATATTGTTTTGTGGTTATTAATTATATTTAACTTATTTATTTATTTACACGATATGTATATAATAATTAAGCTTAATCTTTATCATGAATAAAAGTTTATTTATTATGCAAATTTATACATTAGGCCATGCAAAATTAATAGGTCAGAATTCGAAAACTTTTGTTTTACAGCTGTTTTCATAAATTCCGGAAAATCTGCCAAAAATTACCGACCGAATATTTGTCCGATCAGTTTTCATAAATTCTGGAAAATCTGCCAAAAATTGACCGATCAATTCAGATAAACTTTTGATTCGGATGTGATGCCGAATCAAACTTATCGAATCGGCAAATATTCGGTCGGTCAATTTTTTTGCCAGATTTTCCAGAATTTATGAAAACAGCTGTAATTCGACAGTGATAAACTTTTGATTTGGATCCGAATCAAAAGTTTATCAAAACTTATCGAATTTATGAAACAGGTGTAAAATTTTCTTGTATGAAATTTTTTTTTAAAACTGACCGGCCGGTTCTTTTAAAAATTTCATGTTATGATAACCAAGAAATTAATGGCCTTATATAAAAATTAAAAGTTTTAATTTAAATAATTTAAATGTAAATCGTTATATAAAAATAAACTTATTTTTATATGATCAAGTATTTTCACATGTCATATGCAATATCCATTTTGATGTTTATTCAAATAAAAATGGTTCCATTAATATTACATTTAAATATTTAAATGCCGCCAAGAAAAATTTTCCCATTCATAAATGTTAAAATTATCAATCTTTAAAAAAAAACACTAGAATAACATGCATATATTTATTTATTTTATTAAGTAGGAGAAAAGACGTTAAAATTTACAAATTTCCACTCACTAACTATTAAATATACATTTTTTTGCTTATCTTTTGTTTTGTAATCTTTTGTCTAAAATCTCATATTGCCTATACTAAAAAAAAAAAAAAAGATCCATTGCCCGTCCTTTCTTCTCTTTTTTTTCGCTTTTTTTTTTCTTTTTTTTTTTGGATTTTTTTTATTATTATTAACTATTATTAACATCAATACAGAAACCAACTATTATTATTATATATTTTGTAGGCCTACCCACCTTGTGGCCCTATCCCACTTTTTGTCGCGTATGGTGTAACTTTTTTTCTAAGTTAACCGCGACACCATGATGAGTACTCACATCTATAAAAAAATTGGAATTAATGTCACTAATGTCGCATCAAAGTGTGCCATCCCTTAATTTATCAAAACCCAATAATTTGTTAATGACCGCATTCATCACCACTGCTAATTGTAGCGTCACTATCTACATCAGCAACAGCTGAAGTTGCACTAGATGCTGTACCTGATATATGATTATTATTGTACCAAGACCATGGTTTATACCATAATTGATTTGTTTCATGTCTGATCGGTAAAGATCTTGTTGGTGAGATATTATTCTCATCATCTCCTTCATCGGATGAAGAAAATGTAGGTGAACATGAAGATGAGGAAGACCGACGAGAAAAACACCTTCGATAATCTTCATCTTCTGTATCTTCGTTATCAGTAGTATCCATATCGTTTCCTGCATCTATTTAAAATTTAGATATAATCAAAAAAACATGAAAATATAATGGATTACATATGCATAAAAATACGTACCCCAGTTAAATGTACCGGTAAACATTACTTCATCCTCATCTTGATCTTCGTCAGAATTTTCGGGTGACGATGAACTTGAATCGGTATCATCCATCACTTCTTCTGCAGTTGTTGAATCTTCTTGATACATGCTTCTTAACCGAAATGATGTTGACTTATGTCTGCATATAGTATTTGTGAATTCATTTTCCGAATCTGATTGAGAGCCATAATGCGTTCGGTTGAGTTGACTTGATAATGTTGAGTGTTGTTGTGTAGAGTGTTGTGATGTATTAAATATGTTTTGAGAAAGGGAATTACTAAATCCGTGTCGATTATTTGAATTATTATAAAACGTCCCATCATTTCGAACATTGGATAATGACTCCAGTGAGCCTTGATTGTAATGTTCATAATTGCGGGATGTTTCGTCATATCCATTATCATTATATCGGGAAAAGTCGTTGATGTTTGATTTAATACTACGAGAATCATCATTTCGGTGTCTGGAAGAATCATTGGTATCGGATATTTGTAACCCATCCAGAAAATTAACAGTACAATTTCGGTCCATTCTAGATTTCAACATTTAATAAGCGTTTATTATATATTTTTACAAAATAGAATAGGTTATTGATAATATATTATTATACCTGTTTGATGACTCTCCAACTTCATGGTCTTTGATAGAACTAAGATTATTACTACTTCTGGAGTACAAATCGTCACGATCTCTATTAGAATAATAGGTACTATAATTAACCATAGTAGAATTAATAGGATCTGATCGTTGACGTGATATTGACGGAGACCTTGAACGCCTTTCTCGTACATGACGTTCTTGTGATGACCTATTTCCTTGATCATCATGTACATTATCACGAATTACTGATGAATCATCAATACGACTATTGCTTGCATGCATTACAAGACGAGCACGTCTTCCAGATGATGAATTTTCACTGGAATCATTACTGTAATGTGAGCGAATCCTATCTTCATTGTTTATAGGTTCATTTTGACCGTAATCTTCATTGGAAGAGTTTGAATCATCATCACTATCTGATTCAGAATTATTGTAAGGATCACCACCATTTGCAATTTCATATACAATACGATCAGAATCCGAGAAATCACTGGCATCGTCACTGAAATAAAGAAACAATTAATTAACTAAGTAAGATGAATCAAATCCACGGTTAATTTTAGCATTTTAAAGAAATATATAACATACTCTTCGTCTAAATAATCATCTTCAACACCATTGTCATCACGAAATGGATGACCAAGATTCAATCTTCCACCAAAGATTGAATTGACAACTTGTAGTACACCTTAATTAATCGAAAATGTATTAGGATACATTTTTCTCGGCCTATGTATATATACGATTACGAATAACTATTACAACAAGAAATAATACCTCGTTGAAAATTAGCAAAATCTAGTTCTCCTGGATGTGACATATCATTATGATCGTTTAGATTTTGTGGGGTTGGTGGACCATTTGGAGGATATTCCCAAGTTCGTGGTTGCTTAGCATAGCTTTCAACTTCTAACCGACAGTATGGGCATTTAAAATCACCTATAATCGAAAAGAACAATCAATATATATACACGTATGATCAAAAAAAAATATATATATATAAATACACATATATATGTATTTACCTGAATGATTAAAATGGGAACTGAAAGGTTTTAAAAGAATTTAGTAAAAATAATAATAGATGATAAATTAGAAGTCTAATAAGAATAAAACATACCCCAGACAATTTAGATGGTATATATGTCCACATGACAATCGAACCTGAGCATGTTTCGGTTCAATTTGTTCAATACATATTGCACAATCAATTGCTTCACCATCAGCATAATGGTACATTTTTTCTGGTGGACGATCAAAAGTGCCTTGTGTGGATGAACGATTATTGCTAGAAATAAAATAGAAGAAATAAAATAGAAGAATAAAAATAGATTAACAATAACACATACATTATTTAAGATATGAAGCTATTACTGGCGATTATCAAAAAGATAAAGTTTATCAACAAAACATACCTTTGTTCTGTGACATCAGATTGACCCTCCGTTGTTCCAGGATCCTTAATTAATCTAATCATTTGTACAGTGCGATCTATTAATGGAACAAATTCTCTTCTGCCTTCTGCTTCGTACAGTATTCGTTTATTATTAAGATAGCCTTCAATTTCCTTTATATAGGAATTAATTGTGGTATTGTGAGAGGAATCCATACTTTTTATCTTTCTGTAAATGCGGTATAAAGTATTATAAAAATGGATTATTGAGACAAAGAATAAGTAGGAATGTTAACGATTATTAATAATGTAAAGAATGATGAAATAAAATCCTTACACTTGTTGTAACTGATAAAATATCAGAATTTATCACCAATCCGATTGATTTTTTTTTTTCCTACAAGACAAAAATGAGTGTTTTTTTTTTTTCTTATATTAAAAATGAGGTTATCTATCGATTTTTTGAAAAATTATTATTTTAAAGTCAAGGAGTGGATAATGAAAAAACGAGCCTAACTACTCGTAGTTAATTTTTGTTCTTATAAAACGTTAATATAGGAAATTGAGTACGAAGCGGCAGTTTACCGAAAAAAAGAAAGGAATAGTTTTTTTTGTTTATTTTGTATTAGTATACCGAAAAAAAAAAAATTTGGCTTTGTTACGTACAGTCAGGAGAAAGACTAATGACATTACCTAATGCAGTGATCCGCACTAAATAATTACAATAATGGAATATTTTGCCCCACATGTGATGTTTCAGAAGTGACTTTTAACATTCTTGTAACACCTCATTAAATAACTAAGATAAACCGTGACGTATCTGAATTCCGTCAGTCACATAAAATTAATCGTTAGAGTTAACGTTTAAAAAATATCGATTTAAGTAAATTTATTACTAAATTAAAAAATTAAAACATATAAAACTTGCAGTCGAAGGCGTAATAAAATATAATATAGAAGCGTAAAGAACAATGTGTGTTGCAGGATTTTACATGAAAATCTGCAATATAGTACGACTTTTATCATAACTACGAGTACGCATGTATGTATCTACAAAAGGCAGTTAATGATATTCTGCAGTTTTGTAAAAGAAGCGATATACTATGATAAAATTTGACGAGAAAGTTCTACGTATGCTAATTATTTTAATTGCTATTAATGTTAATTAACGTCAAGCAATGCCATGTGTTAAGAGATTGCCGGAATACATCATCCAAGCTTACATTACGTAGCATACATATACTCTCTTTAACATGTATAACTTAATAACCTCGCATTGTCATAGCATTACGATTAAAGACATGATAAAAAGAACCTTATTCTTCGAGGAATCGAATAAGCAATTTTGAAACTTGACTTGTACTTACGGTGTTCTTATATTTTCAAATAAGGTCATATCATATGAACATGTATTTTCAAAGGTAATATACACTAATTTTGGATGTGTTTCATTATTTTCTTGGTTTGGATAAAATCGTTCTTAGAATTTCATGCACAGTAATTCAAACCAATGGAAGAATTTGTAGAAGATTAATAGGTTTCGAAATACAAATATGGCAATTTATGGAATACCGAGGTTCGTACACATAAATACTACGTAGAAGATTTTACCAAAATTGGATATGCTCAGAAAGCTAAAGAAAATCTCTGACATTTTCATAAAAATCAGATAATCCTTACTTTTTAGTATTCGATTTACTTTATTGTTATCAATCCTTGGAAAGCCCGATAATCTACTTATAAATTCACAAATTTATTAACGTTAATTCAACTATATCGATATTAGGTGTACAAAGATAGACTTGAAATGTCCATATTTAAATACGTTTAGCGATACGATTCCAAAAAGAACTTGTTACACTTATTTACACTTTGGCACATGATTAAATATTTACGTTCGTACTTCTGTACTTTGTACATACATACAAGATACAGTAAATTCATTTGTTTATGGCCGGAGAGTTACATATAAAAATCCGGTCCTAACAAGATTGGTTCTCACTTGCATTTATTTTTAAATCATTTAACGTCAGATCGCTTAATACCTATACATATACATACTTATGTAATTCAATCATTTCTTCTTCTAACCTGATTTAATGAACGATGAAATTCAAAGTCACCAAACTTTTTAGAAGGCCGACTAATGACTTTAAAGTCTCCAATGACTCTAAAGACACTCCAACTCTTCAGGAAACATCCTTGATTCAAGATACGTCTTTGATTCATGAAACATCCTTAATCCATGAAACATCCTTGATTCAAGATGCATACTTAATTCAAGAAGCACCCTTGATTCAAGATGCACCCTTGATACAAGATGCATCCTTTATTCAAGATGCATCTCAAATCATTACTCAACCGTCACCAATCGTGCTCCCAAATCTCAATAGTGACGTCCTTGTTTGTATTTTTGAATATCTTGAACAAGAAAAAGCTGATCTATTTTCTTGTGCTCTTGTAAATCGTGAGTGGTGTCAAAATTCTATTCCAATATTATGGCGTAAACCTTGGTCTGGTATCTGGAAATCTTTTTGGAATTTAAGATTTAATTATATCACCGCTTATCTGGCTCGCTTACCACAAGATTCCCTCGACTTACTTACCAAAAATGGTGTGTCAATACCACAACTTTCTTCCAAAACATTTGATTATGCTACCTTTTTAAGATCTATCAATCTTGAATCTTTGGAACATGACATTACTTCTTGGGTCTTCTCTTATACTGATGAACAGAAAAAAATTGCAAATGTTCCTCTTATTGGCCATGAACTATTTAAAGAGTTCTTTACAAAATCTTCTTGCTTTTTTGAACTCGTCTTAAAACCTGGAAAGCTTCTTTCTTATCCTTTTTTAAAGATAGTTAATCAAATGCCTGAAGCTCATGCATGTCTTTCCACTCTGAAATCTTTTATTTGTAGTCAAGAACTAGGTGTGTTTGTTGATATCACCATAGCATTGAATCCACTAAATGGTTCTATTTATAAGGGTAATGGAATCAACAAAATTTTTATTTATTATTATAATGAGGCGATGCCAGCTTTGGCTTTACCGATGGCGGATCTAATTAAGATGCAAAAGAATTTATCTGATGTTACTATTTCGAATACAATTAATACTATTAATACAACTAATACAACTAATACAACTTCTCCTTATAGTAATGATGTCCGTAATCTTAATTGGAAACATACTATTCCAAATGCGATTACAAAAAAAGCGAATACTCTTACTAGATTATATATAATTAATTCTTACTTTTCTTTAGAGCATTTATCCCCTTTTGTCAACCTTGAACACTTGATACTTAAAAACTTCGGAGATTATGCTCAAAAATTTTCCGCATTGTCTTCCATATCATTTCCTTATCTACAAACTTTTTATTTTTCAAGTTCAAAAGCTCTTGTAAATTTAAATGCCTTTTCTAAATTTATTGAAAATTGCAGCGAAAAACTACTTGAATTTGTTTTCAATAGTATCTATTTAGAAGATCCTCTTAACTCTTCATTAATCTTGAAATCTCTCGCCAAAAGATGTCCAAATCTTAAGACATTTGAAGGCCCTATTTCTCAATCATGCATTAATGAATTAACCCTTTTTTTGAATTCTTGTCCTTTTATTAGTTTATTGGCTTTTTCCCCTGCATTGAGAAGTAATAATTATGGTTATTATAATAACAGTGATTATATTTATGAAGGTTGTGGAGGTGAACGTGACTTTGACGGATTATTGTTAAGTTTATCGCATGCGATGCCAATGAATCTGTCAAATTTAAGATTAGGAAGTGGCTGGGTTATTTCTGCAATAACGTTGTACAATTTTTTAGACGATAGATTAAAAGTGATGGAAGGTAAAGCAATTAAATTGCATTGGGACGATGTCAAAATTATTGGTGGTGAATTTGAAGAAATTTATGGAAATTATTGTGAAAAATGTGGCGAAAATTATTTAAATGATTTGGATTACTATTATTATTATTATTGAAATTACCTATTTGTATATATATATATGTTTGTACAAATATTATTGAGATTATCTGTTGTATATATATACATCCATTTTATATTTTATATATTTTATACGTATTTTAACAGTTTACAATAACATATACCAGTTTTGTGCATATATTTATGCAAAACCAAAACGATTAAGTATGAATAACAGAGATAGTATTTTTCATGATGTAATCGAATTATCTTTTTTGAAGACCAAGAATAGTTAACAAAACATACACTACATATATCAATTACTATGTTAAGAATTTATTGAAAATACTTGTTTCAGCAAGTTTTAAGTACATATAATAGGTCTTTGTAACTATATTGATATGCAAAAAGATTTTTCTACGTAGGTGTATTATAGTGCATTAGAATAGTATTAGTATTTTACAAAACACGTATACGTAGTTATAAATGTTATCATAATGTTGAAAAAAATTCTCGTTATCCTGATTAAATTCGAATCCTTTTTCATTTGTCCGGCTGAATCGACTCATGCATGAAGATTCCTAAATTCTGAGTTGAATCGTGGGAATTAACCAACTACCTAAAATCACTCTAATAAATCACTCTAATAAATCACTCTAATAAATCAATTCACTAAGTAAAATCCCCAACTGATAATTTAGATTAGGGTTAGAGCATTGCTAGTGGGTTAGGATTAGAGGCTATATACACAAAAATTCGTAAGGAAATCCTTTTGTCAACATGTAGAAGGCAATTTCATAGACAAAATTTTGGGTTACGAATGTTTTTTTTTTGGATTGGCTTCTTGAATGATTTTGCATTACACATGATCTCTAAATCTGAAGTTCATTTAAAATAGAAAAGAAAATTAAACAAGAGTAAAGTAAAGAACTCCCCTAACAAGGATCAGTGGAAATTCTCAACTCTTTGTCCAAAGCCGAGATTTGGACAAAAAAAAAAAGAACCAAATGAATACTGCAATAATAAATGATCATAAAAAGAAAAAGGAAATACCAAGTAAAAATAATCGTGATTGGCTGGCGAAATTTTTAGACTGGTGTTTTAGATGCAATGCTAGCCGAATATGTCTATGCGAAAAATTTTTTTTTACAGCTGTTTTCATTATTTTTGTGACATTTGGTAAAAAATTGTCCGAATGATTGTTTAGCCAAGTGGGTTAGTCACGGCAAAAAAAATGTCGCAATTACGCAATCGGCGATCACTTCCGGCTTCTTCGATAAATCATATGTTACACAAAAACTATATCAATATGGTAACAATATTGCAGACGACAAAGAAATTTTCCCGTACGCAAAACTGATTACGTAATTTCATGCAAAAATTATCACGGCAAAAAATTTACGTGATCATATGAAATGTCGGATAATTACATAACTTCTCGTGATTGGTCGTTACACGTTACATGAAATTGAATAACGCGTTATTATTGGCTACTTGTGAAACATGTGACAATCGACCAATCATAGTCATAAACTTAATTATTCTCTATCGTTCTCACTTTAACATAAGAATAAAGAAAAAAAATAGGTCTATATGAGTGCTGCAGAGCGAAAAGCTGGAAGTGAATATTTAAGTTCTCATCATGACTAATTTAGCCCCTGAAGAATTTCGATGTTAATGGTTGATTACGTAACATCAGAATTCACAAAACTAAATGGACTAAACTCGCCATGATGAAAACTTAAATATTCACTTCCAGCTTTTCGCTCTGCAGCACTCATATATGTATTTTTTAAATATATAACATATTTTTTATGCCAAACTAATATAGTATTTGAGAATTTATTATTTATTATACTTAAAGCTTGTTTTTTTTTGGTATTAAGATGACCTCATTCTTTTAATTTTATTAACATTTTTGTCAGGTACATGTTCATATGGACATATGTTATATTAAATTATTACAGAAGAATGTACAATTGGTTACTTATATAAGTTTTCTATATTACCTATTTAAGAAGTTTGCTTGAAGGTTTCTTATTAGTTGTTGTATTTAACACCTTTGCTTAAGTGTTTTATTTGAACTCTCTGATCTGCAACTTTTGTATTAACTTTATCAGATTATTCAGAACCTGAATTCTCATTTTGATCTTAAGATTATGATTTATAGAATCATTTTTATCCTTAAGGTAAATTTTTTAAAATTTTTTGTATTTTTATTTATAGTTAATTTAGTTTTTATTATAATTAGAATCAGCATTTGCATTTAAGATTATCTATTATACTGTTCTTATAAAGTTTATCTAGACTTTGATATTTATCTTTTTTATTTTTTTAATATTAATAATGAGCAAAAACATTAATATTGACCTATTTGAACTATTGTTATTAATCTACTAAAAAATCAGAATATCATTATTGACCTATTAAAAAAAAAAAAAAAAAAAATTTATTATGACATAATATTGTATTGTAATATAATATTATCACATAAAAAAAAAACTCTTTCTGCAAATCCATTGCACAAAAATTAACAAAAAATTTGTCCGTCTAAAAACTCTTATAACTATTTATTT